TTAAATATTGCAGTACACGCCTAGAAAATTATAATAAAAATAATTTTATTTATATTATTAATATATTAATATTACATTTCGGTGTTGACATGCAGGGTCATCCTGAAGATGAAAATCAAGGAGGGGGGGTGAATAATATGAAAAATGCCGAATACAATTTTTTACTCAATGTATGTAATATAATTAACTATATGTAATTGTATTTTTACTTTTTAACATGTATACATGTGTCAGTGTTGCACTTTCTTAAAATTTATAGTTTAATTATATATATATATATATATATACTGGTACATAATAATATTTTATATTGTATAATAATTAGTTCTATAAATTTTATTCGTGTATACACTGTATTACGAAATATATAATATTTATTTTCCGTAAGTAAAATTAGGTCGTTCTAAGTTATAATGAAACAAGTCTGACCGCCGACTGGTGTTTTCGTTGGGAGGGGGTGGGAGACACCCCCCTTCGGAACGGCCCTGCATTCTATAGATTGCTACAAATTATTTGTGCACAGTATTCGCTACAAATTACTATACTCGGTACCATAATTCCTAAAATAATCATTCAAACAACTTCGAAAAAGACTTATACTTACCTATTTCCGATATCCCTTCTCCTGTGCCTCCCCCGAAAGGCTGAAAAGAAATTGGTACCGCGTTATTTTCTCCACTTAACCCCTACAAACGAATAGTGAAACACCCTAAGAAGTTTCGTCAACGGGTGGTTTCTCTAACAACTCTAGTTGTCGATGTAAATGTCTTCTCTGATCATTTATCTTTACTATACAGTAAGCTGTTACCTAAAAAAATATAAAAATCAAACTTTAGTTACAACTAAAGTTATAATTATAACTATTAAAATTAATATAAATATAATAAAATTAAAGTAATGTTTTTCTTACCATGCGTGCTTTCTTTCTAAAACGTTTTTTAACATGGGTGCAAAGATCCTTATGGAAGTCTTTTTGGAAAATATCTCCTGATTGATCCTTACCGAAAAACCAATGGCACATTGTATGAAACATGAATCTATCATTGCTAATCATATCAGTACTACCATTTCCCTCGTGATACGGGTTCAAAGAAACACCGATCCAATCCCACTAAAAAAAAAAAAAAAAAAAAAAGTAAAAAATAAGTTAGTAAACAAAAAAACTTAAAAAATAAGATCATTAACTTCAACATTAATATCTCTGTTATAAATAAAATGGTTTAGAGCAGTAATAAACGCTTCTGGAGCTTCACAAAGATGAACACTGCAGAGTTTACCATCATTAATAATCTTTTGAGGTATCATTATCATTTAATATTTCATAAAACTTCAACCAAACTGTAGTTAATAACTCGGGACGCCTAGCTCCTCTAACTTTATATAGAACTTTATCGGCTGGATTACTTTGTTTGGTATTTTTATGCCATTCCGTCAAGTTGAAATCATCATGTTTATCTTTGACAATATTCAATGATTTTTTTAAAGTGATAAAATCTGATAACTAAAAAAAAAAAATAAAATTAAGTACTTAATAATAATTCAATTTAACAAGTACATGACTGGGACTTCTATCATTTCTCCAAATAGTTAGGTAAAAAAAGAATGGTGAGGTAGACTTGAGGACAGCTTATTTCTATAAAAAGTGCGTTATCGCTCTTTTAATGTTTTCAAAGTTTTATCATTTCATATATTAAACACATAATTTTAAAAATTACATAACACTAGTCATTAAATTAAAAAATTGTTAATGTTTTAAAATATAATTATACAAGTGGGTAAATAGTTTGTTCACAAGGATAATTAATAGGTAATAGTATAATCTATTTGAAGTCATAAACACTGTACTATTTGCAAACGTAGTCTCATACCGAAATAAATTTGAACATAATAAAATATGTTGTACAATGGTACAGGAAGAATATCTTTATTTTAAAGTTTGGTCATAAAAATGTGGCATGATAAGTTTAAATAAATTATATTGCATCTACAAATTTGATTGAAATTTAATTATACAAATAGTTTTAAACAATAATATATATTTATTTACCTCCCATTTCCTTCGACTCAGCATAGTGTTTGTTTTTGGAAGTTCCCACTTGTTGGACTTATCCATTGTAAACTTCTTTAAGAACAATTGATCAACCTGGTCGTATAGCGATCGCTTTCCATAAGTGTTGTAAGGTTTCCTTTTGAAAGATTTATCATATCCCGACCAACTCGACTTGGAGGACTGTTCCAAACTATCTAGTCGTCTTTTCCTCGTTCCAGTAGTGGATAGAGTAGCGGGGGCCTGGACGGCCACCCCCGCACCCTCGCGGTCGCTGGATGACCGGAGTGGGCCCGCTACGTTGGTTCCGGTTTTGACACCGGAACCACCCACTCCTGCCGACCTCTGGGGTTTCGAAGCCCCTGAGGTGGTACCAATAGTTGACTTTTGATAGTGCATATTGTGGTTTTTTAAGTGATTTCCTTCACTGCATTTTAACCCTACTGCCAGGGGGTTTTTGATCAAGGTTTTCCTTTCTCTAGGACGGCTGCCACCCGAGGCTGAAGAGCCCGTCCTACCCTTTGTCGAGGACCGCTTTGTCAGCCCTCAGTTCGTCGACCTGTCCAACATGGGAGACCCTGTTGGTAGTAAACTACCGTTGGCATAGTTCTCGGAACTGTTGAGGAACGCAAGCTCCCCCACCACGTCAAGGTGGGTCCTCATGGGGGGGGGGGATTTGTCAAGACGTCAAGAAGTGTAAAAAAATATTTTTATTTTTTTTCTACACCTATATAAGGGGTAACTGCAAGAGACTGTCTCACGGTCATCCAAAACATACCTGTAAAATATATCGTGAGCTATTGAGTACGAGGGAATTTCTCGTACTTGCTTCAAAAAAAATTGTGACATTGAAAAAATAAATTATGGTGATCTGCCATCCGAAGCATTACCTCATCGGTATATCAGGGTGGCGGGCATATTGTCGGTTTTTAGGGCAAAAAAATTCCAACCGTACTCTGAGCACCCACAGGTGGTGTTGTTTGAATAGTCCATATTGTTTACCCATTATTATTAAGTTAGCGTTCTTTTTCAGTGTCCAGAGCTTGTAGAGTTAATGAAGCGACGTACGTTTATTTACTATATATGCAAGAAATTTAACGCTCACGTCAAATTATTGAACTTGCCCCTCAACAAGTATTTTTAACACGAAACTGTTACTATTTGAAGTGTTATGTTTATGTATTGAAAACATGACAAAGTTCAACGAAATTTACTTTGAAAACTTCAACGAGGAACGTATTACGTACACACCTCACTCGCTTCAAATATTAGTAGTATGCTAATTATGAGGTTTAACCTGATATATTAATGATAAAAATACTTCAAATCTTTTTAATTCCAATATCGAATCATTATCGAGGCTTGAATTAATTGAAGTTCTTGAATTAATATTTAACTTATTAAATTAAATTATAATTTTAATTACTTATGTATAATCACAAGACATGGTATGCAGCAAAAATGTTACAAAGAATTTATTTTGAAATAAAAAATATAAACCAATGTTTACAACTAGCAAAATTAAAATGGTCAGTTATTAGAGTATAATATAATCCACGAGGGGTGTCGATTGTGACAGAGCATTCCCCGAAATATTGTAAATTGGACCCTAAAATTTAAGTCTAAGAGTAAGGTGTTCATATTTGAACTGATATTGTTTAAATTAAATGTAATTTATTCTAAAATGTTTAGTAAAATATAAATTATATTTCGTATAAAAACTAAGACTAAATTTTCGTGCAAAAACTTAATATAATAATATAAAAGCTGAAATTGACTACAAAAATACAAATCTAAATAATTATAGCTATCTGATAAATATAATATAATATATAATAATAATAATAATAATAATATAATAAATATACAAGATTCGAGGAATGCATATTAATTGGGACTAATTAATACAATATTAAATAAAAAATTTGATTTATGTTTATTTAGCTATTTATAAATTATAATTTTTTAAATGTACTTACACGTTTTGTTAAGATAAGGCCCAAAAGTATATTAGACACCCCTTGAAATACAGGTCTCCACATGCCTAAAAGTATAGTATACTAGAATGAAAAAGATGATTGAAAAAAATTGTGTCTGGCAATTTCCAATAATTCATTTTAGAATAATGTTTATATAACTTAAGTAATTTTTTCATAAATTACAAAAATAATTGTTTTCACAGTTTTCTTATTTTTTTTTTTTTAATTGTATTAAAATAATATCAATCTGTACAATTTAATGGCACAATAAGCTTATACATGTGATGTAAAGATAAAAAAAAAAAACAACAAAAAAACAAAAGTTAAACAAGTTAAAATCACTTATACTTGAAACTTTAAAGTAATAATGAAACTTTTGAAGAAAATTGTATGTGTTCACTACATCTCCGTTGATGATGCGACAAATAATTCGTTGGAACTATTGTTAGTTGAAAAAATTAATTTTATAACGTCATAGTAACGCGTTATTATTAATATCCAATAAAATGTATAGTGCGAATATAGTATGTAGTATAATTAACTATATGTAGTAGTAATTTTACTTTTTAACATGTATATATGTGTCAGTGTTGCACGTTCTTAAAATTGACAATTTAATTATACATATATAATTATAATTTTCATTATAATTTATAATTTCATATTATATAATAAGTAGTTCTATAAATTGTAATCGTGTATATGTTACGGGCAAAGTAGAAAGTCGGGCATTGTGCACAATGACCGGGCACTGTGCACAATGCCCGATTTTCATGGCAAAGTTGGAATAAGTTAATGTTGCCCGGGCATTGTATACAGTGCCCAATTAGATTTGGGTACAGTAGATTAAATATTGAATATTATATAAAAAATTAAAAATAAAGATATTAAAAATATTATTAAAAATAAATAAAGTTGCACAGCTTTAATATTTAATTTATTTATTATTAAATTAAAATTATTATTTATTTGCTTTATTTATTACCACATAAACCACTATTATAACACTTTGAGTTGCAAAGACGACCAGATCTTTTACATTTACACCGGTTGGTCTTACACAATGTATTGCAAGTACACCTATCGTACCCTTGGCCACCCAAATTAGAAGATTTTTTTGCCACTTCTCTTAATGAAATTTGTACTGGTGGTACATCATTAGCCTGGATAAACACCTCTTTACATATTGTGAATTGGTTCCGACTGTAGAGTTGATGTAGTCTGCCCTCGTTTGTTCCAATTTCATATAAATTATCTTTTACTATAAAAAAAATTATTAATTTAAAAGTTATTTTATAATTAAAATTATTTTAAAACTAATTACCAGAAAGTATAACTCCCAGAATACACCTAAGATCACATCTTGCTCGATCCACATCAGGAATTTTTATTTTAACATTTTCTTCTTCTTTTCCTGGAAAAAAAAGGTCTTCAGATAAATTCTTCATTTTGTTAGCTTGTACTTTAAGATTTTCAGCAGCATTCGATCGATTTGAAGAAATTGATTCTATTCTCAATTTTATTTGATTGTTTTCATCTTCATCAGAAAAAAGTTGTTTTGCACTGTCCTTATCACTTCCATCACTTTTTTCGTGTTTCTCGTTTATGTTTTCGATATTAATTCCACAGCCTAGAGCTTTTTCTAAATCTTCCTCTGATAAAGTAGAAATTAAATCGGTTGGAATTTGCGTTGATTTTAGGCCAACTTTAGCATGTGTTCCGAACATAGCTTCGTATGGCGAAAGTTTTGTACCATGGTGAAAACTCCGATTCTTCATAAATTGAACAAATTTAAGACCTTCGCTCCACTTTCTTGAATTATTATCGGCTAACCATGTTGCGAGAATATTTTGAATATCTTGGTTGGCCCTTTCAACAGACCCTTGACTTTGTGAGTGTCTAGGCTTTCCGTGGACAATCTTAAGTTCTTCCCACATACTACACAACTCAATAATAACTTTATTGGCGAATTCCCTTCCATTATCACTTTGCAAAATTGCCGGAGCTCCAAATGTTGTAAAAATATCAATTAACACTTAAGCTACTTCTTCAGCTCGTTTATGAGTTAACGGTCTAAGAATTACGAACTTCGTAAGGTGATCTTGATAGACCATTATGAACTTGTAATCGCCATCAGGCTGAGCTTGTATGTCTATTAAATCCACTTGACAGTGAGAGTTCAATTCTGATGAAAGTATAGGTTTTACAACTAAACCTTTTTTAATTGTACTGCCTTTTTTTTGACAGTGGTCACATAAATTTAAAAATATCATTATAGTCTCCCTTGTTATATTTTTATATTTCAAGTTCAATTCATACTCCATACGGTTTCTACCTCTATGTCCCACAGATGTATGTGTTTCATTAAGAAGTTGAAACAATTGTTCGTTGTAAACATAATACTTAATTAAATTACCTTCGGATACTGGAACTACTAACTTTTCAATCCCTGATATGTTTACAACATCGTATTTTTTAATTAATTTGTAATCATCTGCAGTCTTTTTTGTGGTTTTAGTTTTCACATTATTCACTTTTAAAATTAATTCATCGTATTTTACTTTATTTAAAAATACAGCATTTGCATTTTTGTTTAATAGTAAATTGTTAAACTTCTCATTAAACTTTTTTTCCATTTTATGTTAGAAAATAGTACACAAATACTTAGAAAATAGTTAAAAACGTTGACCAAAAGAAAAAATAACACTACACGCAACTGCATTACCTACACTACAATGTCAGACTACGTGACGTCGCCGTCGTGACAATAATCATTAGAAAATATCGAATAGGAATTTAACGATTCGATTATGAAATATTATCTACAATACTGTGTGATCATTTTATCGTTTAGATTACGGTTCGGTTCGTACTATCGCAGCTGTGGCGTTGTTGTGTACGAATAAAATATATAATTATAGTTTTGTAGTGATATTATTACGTATAAATGCAATTTGATATAAAAATGTGCAGCGCACTGTATAATTCACTTTGCCCACTTGAATCTGGGCAGGGTACACTTTACCCGGGCAATCTAGTACAATGCCCGGTCAATGTATGACAAATTTGAGTATAAAAATGATCATTCTTACATTGGCCAAAATGTTCGGGCATTGTGCACAATGCCCGGATTTCCTACTTTGCCCGTAACATATACACTGTTTTACGAAATATGTAATATTTGTTTTCCATAAGTAAAATTAGGTCTTTCTAGACTATAATGAAACAAGTCCGACCGCCGACTGGTGTTTTCGTTAGGGAGGGAGGTGAGACACCACCCCAAGACCCAGTGGTGCACGCAGGGGGAGGGGGTAAGAAGTTGTAACCCCCCCGGAATTTTCTCCGATGTCTAGGTTAAAATTTAAAATTTTTACAAGTTTGAAATATGAAGAGCATATTGTATTGAATACCTTGTATCATTGATTATAGAATAGTCTATTCTATTATCAATGCTATTATTTAAGTCAAAATATATTAAGGATTTGCATAATTTTGTTAATTGTGAAATGTGTTATATTTTTACCTTAACTCAACACCAATAACAAAGATATTGTAAATTCGTCCTCAATTTTGCATACCAAAATCAAAGTCTAACTACCTTACAGGACCAATAGTGGTCCACCCCAGTGTATAAACTGCCAGAATTACGGTCACACTGCAAACTATTGCCATCATCCTCACGCTGCGTTAAGTGTGGGGGCGACCACTCCACAAACACTTGCACTAAAGACAAAGACAGTCCAGCCAAATGCGCTTTCTGCATGGGCGATCATACTTCCAACTACAGAGGCTGCCAATCATTTAAAGCACTTCTCAAACGCAGTAAATCGTTTCATTCAAAACCGAATTTTTCGAATACTGTACTCTCGTTTCATCAACCTAAAACTCACCCTCCTCACCTTCCCAAAGTTTCTTTCGCCTCCGTTGCCAATTTTTATACTATCCCATTACCTAATAGCCACTAGTGATAGGAATGAAATCTGGATTTCGGATTTCAGGCTAGAAAATTTGAGATTTGGGTTTATTATTGCAAATTTCTGTATTGTAATCATATAACTTTCATAACACCATTTTTTAGTCGTTATTTTAATTCTCTGACAAGATGATGATGGTCTTAATAAGATATCTTAATAATTTATCAACATTTCAAGTCTTACGTACCATTATTTTTGGAGATACAACTAATAATAACTTAATTTTATTTTATGATACTTATATATTTAATATTACATAAACACATGTATATGAGATTTTTAATTAGGTTAGGTTAAAATATCATTTAATTTTGAGAATGGTTAATTATTTTGTATTAACTATAAAAAGTTCTTGAAAAAATACTAATTCAATGTTTTCAAATCCGAAATTCGGATTGAATGCAAAATCAGGATTTCGAACTTCAAAAATCCGGATTTTCTTACTTCAGCGAATCCGGATTTTTCCCATCACTGATAGCCACACTAACGATATGTCGTTGGTTAAATTTATTTCTGTACTTTCTTCATTAATTAATCCTCTAATTACGCTCCTTACAACTGTTCTAAACAAACAACTTATTCCATAGTCCATTCTCTATTACCTCATTAACAATATTACAAACATTTAATTGTTGTATACACAATCTATATCTGTTCATTCTAATTGTTTTTGATCCATTATATATTATTGTACTATGTTTACCTAACCTATTAATATTGTATCTGTTCGGTATTATTTGTTTTTTAATTTTTAATTGGATTGTGTTTATCATAATCTACATTCTATTATCTGTATTATCTGTATTAACCATATTGTGTTTATATACGAATATGCTCATTTAAATTCTATTTAAATTGTAGATTGTAATTGTTAAACTGTAATAGTAATATACTGAAAGTTCTAAAAAATATATATATATATATATATATATATATATATATTAATATTTATATAATACATCC